GCTCTTTTCCTCCAGTTCTTAAGTTGTGAACTTAATGCTCTTCCCTCAGAGCATTAAGCCTCCCTTTCCTTTGGCCCTGGTGGGCATTTTCTTAGTTTGCAAACACTGATTTCCTCCTGAAGCATGAGTTGGCAGGCCTCCAGAGGAGTCCATTGATTGTTGATGCTTAGTTGGATCTTCTAGGGTGTATAATTTGTGTCTGGTGTTGAAGTGTGTCACAGCCTGCGTGCCACTGGCTCTAGTCTGGTGAACACTTTGAGGGTTGATTCAGTCTCCTTGATCTTCTGTTCCAAGGCTTGTGTATCTCAGGAAAAACCCGAGTGCTATCCACAGTGCTATCAAGTCTAGCCAGCCTATGGTCTACCCCAGGCCTATGATGTTTGCAAATACACTGCTCTCATTGCAGTTGTTTCAAATATGCTTTGGGTGGATATTCAAGCTCAAGGGTTTGGCAGTCTAACAGGGTCATAGTGGCTAGGTATTTAATCAATGTTCCTGGTCCTCGTCAGTCCTAAGTTGTCCAGAGACGTTTCGTGACCATTGATCTCCTTCGAATTAGTATCTACTGTCTCTCCTCAATTTTCAATCTTCTGAACTTCTCAATCAAGTCCTAAATTTTTCCACATGGTTATCTAGCTACAAGAGCCCACTAAGAGGCTTTCCCAGAAACCTAACATTAAATTTAATGAAACACCTCTTTATGGTAGCCCTCCCAATGGCGCCGTCTTCCAGGTCCGTCAATTCGTTGGAGGGGATCTTATCTGCTTCAGTACTGATTGCTGTGCTGATAGAGGACCGAGCTCTGGGCTTCCTGGTGGTGGTGATTGGTACTAATGGGTTTCAGCTAGTTGAGTGAATTATTTCATTTTGTTGAATCATTTCGGGGAGATTGACAGTTTCGAGGCTTCCAGTCTTGTGAACCCAACAGTTGTTTGTAAAGTTTCAATGACTTTCTGGATAGTTTCTCTATCTGAAATAGACTAATGTCATTTTCTCCCTGTGCCTTGTGTGAGGGAGCTCCGGTTCTGACTCTGGTCCTTGGAAGGTGTTGCAGAATTCCTGCAACTGATGCGACTTGTAGTATGGATGGAGAAATCTCAGCGAGACGGCTACAAGGAGCCACAGAGACTACCAGAAAGATGAATTTCATTGCATCACTGGGTTTTTATTGAAGGGCAAAAATGCTTGATAACTTTACTCTCAATCTTTTAAAATGTAATTGAAGTAGATGACAGTGGTAAAGATAATGACATTAGAGAGAGAGTACTGTATTTGAAGGTGGCCTCTTAAACTGGATCAGGGTATACTTATTACACAGGAAACACAGGGTCTGCATAAATGGAGTAAAATCTGAAAGGATAACAGTCACAAGTGGAGTGTTGCAGAGCTATTTCATGGGGGCCCTCAATTATATTCATCATAAATTATTCAGATGCAAGATTGAAAAACAACCTTAGTAAATTAGCCAATGACTAAAATATAGTAATAAACTCAAGATTGAAATATGCTACAGGAAGACCTAAATAGTTTCAAAATGGAATAACAAATTAGTAAATGCAGCACAAATGCTAACAAGTGTTGGGTTGCAAGAGATAGATAATGCAAGTCCCAAATATCAGCCAAACAGTATAAAAATTGCAAGAATTAAACTAAGGTAGCTGGGATCTCTCAAACCAAGAAGACATGCTTGAAATTGGGCTAATATTACTAGGCTATGTATCTAGTAGCATTAGTAATAAAAACGATAATCCTATAACTATAATTGTATTACTCAGCTGTACACTTGATACACCCCACTTGCATTTTGCATCAAAGTTCTGGATATTATACTATACTATAGAATGGGTGTAAATTTCCTGTAAGTAATCACTGAAGAATTGAATGACCAAGTACTGGTTCATTAAGAACTGCCTTCATGAAGAAAGACCAAGAAAACAAAATTTACTCAAAAGTGCATAGTAAGGGATACACAATCAAAGTGTACAAATTTAATTATTTAGCAAGGGTATATATAAGCCAAATATGAGGAGCTGGATTGTATCAAATTAGATGGATGCAATGATGACCAACACACAAACCAGAAGGTGAAAAAACGACGACATTTTGGTCCATCCTGGACCATTAATAAGTCGTATGTGGACTTTATAATGGTCCAGGCCACACAATTATAGTCTATAGACTATAGACTGTACCTATAATTATAGGTACAGTCTCCGTGATGTAGTGGTAAGACACTCGCCTGGCGTTCCGCGAGCGCTATGTCATGGGTTCGTATCCTGGCCGGGGAGGATTTACTGGGCGCAATTCCTTAACTGTAGCCTCTGTTTAACGCAACAGTAAAATGTGTACTTGGATGAAAAAACGATTCTTCGCGGCATGGGATCGTATTCCAGGGACCTGCCCGAAACGCTACGCGTACTAGTGGCTGTACAAGAATGTAACAACTCTTGTATATATCCCCCAAAAAAAAAAAAAAAAAAAAAAAAAAATTATCCACATACGACTTGATAATGGTCCAGGAAGGACCGAAATGTCATCATTTCTTCATCTTTTGGCGTGTGGTTTGGTCATCATATCTTCAGCCACGTTATTGTGACTCATCGTCTACATCTAGATGGATGCATATGATATGGATCTGAAAAATGATTAGAAAGAAAAAGAACAATATAGTTATAAATTTTATCGAGGTCTGTGGGAGAAAAATTATCAAAAGTGAATACAGCCAAAAGAAAAGTTATGGTGGTGAAGCAAAAAGGAAACCTCTATGAAATAAATATAAATGGTCAGTTAATTTGAGATGATTTTGAAGCTTTTTTTTTTCTTTTTTCTTTTTAGTGTCCCCGCGGCCCGGTCCTCGACCAGGCCTCCACCCCCAGGAAGCAGCCTGTGACAGCTGACTAACACCCAGGTACCTATTTTACTGCTAGGTAACAGGGGCATAGGGTGAAAGAAACTCTGCCCATTGTTTCTCGCCGGCACCCAGGATCGACCCCGGGACCACAGGATCACAAGTCCAGCGTGCTGTCCGCTCGGCCGACCAGCTCCCTGTACTTTACTGTACATTAAATATGTGAAATAAGCATATATTAAAATGAAGACGCATAAGTGCAATTACAGTTGAGAATAAGGTCAGTCAATGAAAGCAGCTACTGCAATGAAAGCCTTGGTATATAAAAACTAGATAAAAGTAGATGCAGCCATAGGTTTGCATTGGTGGTGCTGGCTCTTATGTATGGCTGCAGAATGATGTGTGGTACGAATGCACAAAATTAATATACAGCAGTAAAAATGGAGAATCTACGAGCAATATGTAAAACAGATAGAGAAAATGAATGGAAAAGTCCAGGGACAGATGCATAGTACAAATGTAAAGAAACAACAAGATTGAGTGGAATATAATGAGATTATTTGGGCACGTCGAACAAATGAATGATGGTACTGATGAAAAATGCATTCCAGTGAATTTAGGGGTTAAAATGAGGAAGGCTGGGAAGGTGGGCAGACATCGTAAGTGTGAACACCATACAGCATAGGGTAATAAGGCTGGGGGGGTGGGGGGGGGTAGTTTGCTAGAAGGAAGTAAATGTATTTGTATATAATGTGCATGAAAATTTGCCTGGAGCATTGTACACCTGGGGCCAGATTCACGAAGCAGTTACACAGGCACTTACGAACGTGTACATCTTTCCTCAACGATTGACGGCTTTGTTTACAATTATTAAACATTTAATGAGCTCCGATGCACCAGGAGGCTGTTTATAACAATAACAACAGTTGATTGGGAAGTTTTCATGCTTATAAACTGTTTAATAAATGTAAACAAAGCTGTCAAAGATTGAGGAAAGATGTACATGTTCGTAAGTGCTTGCGTAACTGCTTCGTGAATCTGGCCCCTGGTCTTATAAAGTAGTTGGGAGCTGTAATGGATGACTACTATTTATCCATGACATATACTATACTATATAATATACAGCACTATATATAGGCATACCACCTCCGGTTGTGTTTGTAGGGGTCTTCAGCCTCGTATTGTGCACTGTGAATGATATAATGAATCGGCCCATCCTCCAAAAATGGGGAGGTAAATGTAACAGCCCCAGAAGTGCAATTATATACTATGTATGACAGTCAGGAATTGTACTTTTTTACACTTAGTATTAAATTGTACTATCAAATATATTGTGAATATCTGAGTTTACCTGTAAAGCTGAATAGAAAACCACAACCTAACCTAACCGCCTTAGTTTTTTAAGATAAGCATTTTATTGCTTCTTAATTACAATTATTACATAATCTATAGCTATATTGATATTACAGTTTTATAAAACAAATAAAACAAAACTAAAATATTTAAATAAATTGTAAAGTAACTCGGGATATTTTAAAATTTTGTATAAAATCTCTATGGTTTAATAAAACTGAAAAAGAAATTCCTGATATTTAAAACCTGTGTATAGTGAACTGAACTTTAAATTTTCATCCTAAAATTGTGTATTTTTACAGAAAACGAGGAGAATTAAATGGGGAGGTAAATGTAACAGCCCCATAAGTGCAATTATGTACTATGTATGACAGTAATGAAACGTACTTATCACACTTAGTATTAAAACGTACTGTCAATTCGGAGGATGGGTTGAATGAATGGGCAAGTGATATTTTAATTTTATATCTTCTCATATCTAAAGGTATTATCTTCAAAGTTGTTTGGCTTAATTTGGATTTTTCTCTCTCCATCCCATGAAAGTGGGAAATGAAGTTCTGACAATGTATGATATAAATAGGGTGCATAAAATATTAACACAAGTTAAAACATGAGATAATGTATTAAAGTTGAATAAGTTAAGATGTAGAAAAGAAACGGGCAAATACTGGCTTGGAAACTGAGCTGCATATCTGTGGAATAAGTTACCAAGTAACATTACAGAAGCAAACTCACTGGAAATTTTCAAGTAATGGTGGGTCAAATATAAGAGGGGGAGTGGTTGGATATAAATAGGAGCTGCCTCGCATAGACCATTAGGCCTTCTGCAGAGTCCTTTATTCGTATGTAACATTATAAATACAAACTTAACCCCAAACCTTTCAGCTTATTTATCCATTATTGCATAATATGAAAATAAACACTGAACTGCAAAATGTAATACCTGATCTGCTGGTAAAACACTTTTTTTTCCACTATTCCATAAGCATGTAGAATTTCCATTTAAAGAAATCTGAATTACAGCACAGTACCATCTCCAAACCTTCACTCACTGTAGGTTATAGCTACCTGCACTGAAGATCCAATAGCATATCATTCAATTTAAGAAAAAATGTAATGATCATTTAGTGTTGTCAAATGTAAGACGTCTTTACTATCTCAACATAAATATCAAATTTAAAATTATATACAAGATGAAATAAGAGTTACTTCAACAAGTGTGCACATGACAAAAAGAACATTAAGATTTAAGAAAACTGTGCTAGGCGAAGCAGAAGTAGGAATCTTAACAATGAATACAGGAGATGGAGGATATATCGTACTGTCAGTTGGGCTACATAGAGTAAATGTAGCAGAATATAAGCACTCTTTTGGGAGTTAATAACTTTCCTCGTGTATGTTTCTTTGAGCCAACCTTCAACAACTAACCTGTACTGTATACCTTTTTAATAATTTTCTTTACTGAAAAGCTGTTAAAGCATTCAAAAAAGTTTCAATTAGTGAAAGCCCCACATCCTGTTGAGGGATAAGATTTCATTAACAGCCTCTTGTTTGTGTTATTTCTGGTTTTCTTTTCACTTTGGAACATCCGAGTTCAAAACCAAGAGCAAAATGTAATACTGTACTGTAAATAAAAAGTGCAATAGAGAAATCTCAGATGGTTAACAACTTACATGATATTACCAAAACAACACTCTTGAATGCTTCATTGTGGCTCGCTTAGATTGAAGACCAAAGAACACATGAATATCCAATGTAACTTTAAGGAAAATTCAATATGGATGGAAAATATTCCATCAGTTTATTTCTGAAAAATAAAATGAAACTATTTTTAAGACATACTATACATCTCAATTACTCAATTTTGTCAGCACACTTATTTTCACCGAGAACTAGTCAAATGCATATTATTTTTTTCGTCTCGAGATCATAAATATATAAAAAGCTACTGCTAGTGTTACTGTAGATGTGAAATTAAAATCATAAGCCCCCCATACTCCTTATTAAAATTGTAACTTCTGCATACAACAATCAAAAAAGACTTCGAACAAGGAATAAGAACATGGACTGGTGCAATTGGAAAGAAATTAAGTCTTCCTTCAGTGAGATGAAACAAAGCAAAGCACACATTTAGAATGGGAGAAAGCGGGCTACGTAGCCATCTGTGACTGGGGAAGGGTGACACCAAAGACTGGCCTGCCTTATTGGTCAGTTTACTCCATCAGTAACATGATACACCATATCTGGGGCTTTCAGGCCACAACAGGTAGAGACATACATCCACATCTCTCTCCAACTGCAACTTTAGAAAAATACAAAACACACACATTTTTTGTTAATATAGTATTTCTGCTTTCGGTGCGCCTTGGTTGACAAATCCGAGACGATGGTTGTATCCTTGCCAGAACTTGTGGGGGAAAATCTCATGAAAGAAATAATTATTTAAAGGGAAGGGTCGTGCAAATGCTTAATAATATTATAACAAATGAGTAAATCTGCATGACACCAACCCCAAAATGGATATGAAACAAAGATTAAATGAATCAAAGACTTGTAAACATCTTTTAAGAACAATCACCCAATACACCAAGGGACAAATCAAGACTCTCGACATGCTCAGTGTAATTATTGCAATACAGGTAGAGAAAAATAGGACTATTAAAATGTTCTGTACAGAAAGTCAATGTATATAATTAAAACTGTTATTCATAACAATGTAAAATATGAAATCTTACATTACAATAGAATCAATAGGGCCATTAAAGAATAATTTTCATGCCATTAAGCTAAAAAAAAAAAAATAGATTAGGGTAGATTACAAATATTTTACATTGCTCATGCCTTCAAATAGAGGAGTAAAATCCTAACCTGTGCAAAAACCACGATCAAATTCATAAAACGAAATGATCTGTCAAAAGGCACGTATGCCTAAAACAAGTCTCCTACTGCAAGGCATGAACAAGCCAAACAAGTTAGCAAACAAGATAAAGTTTGGAAAGAGTGCAAGTGAAGTGTCTGGAGAAAAATGGCATCGGGCACAGGATGTGGAGAAACAAACATCAGTAACGAGGTCGTTTGCAGTAGTGGTAGTCTATACAACAGATTACAATATTTACAATAAATACAGCCGCAGTTTCACCTTCACAGGTTCTACACTTTAAGCTTATAATTTACAGGATCTGCATCTACTTGCAGTCATCTATACAGAAATACACAGAAAATATTAACTTTGCTGTACTTTGTACATTTAAAAACATTCACCAATATATACAATCTACATATACAATAGAGGTGTTGGTGTAGAAAAGTGTGGGCACCACAATGTGGGTGGGCAGTTGTGTCTGCCATGAGGAAGGGTAGACTTGTCACACCAACCACACCATGTCAGTGGGGCAAGCCACAACACCGTCCTCTGTCCCTGACAACACTACCAGGAGACGTTCTCACTGGGGATGGGGAAATTCATCACCCTAAAAATCACACATTCATTGCATTCAGCTGTCCTCTGGAGTTGCAGCTGTACTGACAATCCAGTGCTTATTTTATCACTAGTCATTGTTATAAGCAGTACAATAAAAGAAAACAAAATTTACCTTAACAAAATTGCCTACAGAATCTGTAGTTTTAAAAGAATTAATCATGGGTTGCCAAAGGCTGAGATCTTGAGTCTATCCACTCTGAGCTAAGTTCAGGAAACAAGCTCCAGTAAAAATGGACAGAGGACAAAACTTTGAATTTGTTAAGAGTCTTGGTTCTCTACAGCATTGCTTCCTAAAAACTTAAGTCAAGTGGTCAGGCAGAGGTAACTTATACAAGAAAGTGAGTGGCAGCTGGCATCACATCACCAGAACTGCCATCATAGGAACAGAGGGAGACAGACAGCAAAAGAGAGAACGTCTTATTGCACTGTTTTTCTAATACTGATATACACTGCTGTCTGCTCATAGCAACACTCCACCAGTCCTAGAGAATTCTTGCTGAAGGATTCTTAATTAGCTTCAGAAGAATCAGCCATGTCCTCACTTCAGCAAGAGGGGGATCCTACTTGTCCTTTGACAATCTTCTTCTTTTGTTTGGAGTATCTTCATTTGCTGCAATACAAACATAAGATATTTAATTTAACTTGTAACTTATTTATATATACAGTGAACCCTCAAACTGTGAGAGTTTGGATAACAAAAATGACACGAATTACTCTTTTAGCACCAAAACTGTTAACATGTCAGGAGTGGTTTAACTTATACAAGTTGATGTAGTTAAATTAACTTGATTTATTTCTAAAACTATATAATTTCAGAAAGAAATGTTTAAGAAATATTAGAACTACAAAATTCTGTATATATTACAGTGCAAAAAACGAGTTATATGATCATATTACACAAAGCTTCAGTATTTTTGACTATTTTAATACAAGCACATTTTTAACCAGAAGCATACAAGATTATTATTTGGATAAGAACAATTCTTCCCTCTAGTTTGTATATGTTCCAGATGCAATTTGATCAAACCCGATCAAGAGAAGTATAATCAAACTGTTGCATCTTGGTACACAAAAATTGGGTGTAATGAGTACAGGCTAGAGGTGGCGGTGGTTGTAGCAGTAACAGTGCTTGTAATGGAAATCGAGATGAAAGCAGTAACGGTACTGATAAATGATGGTAATAATGATGGTAATAATGATGGTGCACTTTAATAGTTTTTATCCAATTGAGTATACAGGAAATGAGATCTAGCTCTAAAGCCCCACCTCATAGCTAATGTGCCTGGTGCAATTATACTGCCTGTTTGTTCCAGCACTGTACTTAGTTATACTTGCTCTTTAAGACAAAGATGGTAAATGCTTCCACCACAACTGAATCAAGCTCATGAACCACAAAAATACACTTTTGATAAATTACAGAAGTTTGCAGCTAGACAAGTACAAGATTTGAGATAGAGAAAATTCAAGCACTCAACCAAGAAAGAACAAAGGTGATATTATTACTACATACAAGATACAGGTGGGACAAGACATGATGGACAGGAACAACCTATTTAAAAGAGAGAAAATAAGGCAACAGTACAATGATGGAATCTGGAAATTTATCAAACAAAGCACTTTCCACAGTTGTATTCTATGTTATTTGAACACTCGTTTCTGTAATTCATACAACAATCAAGATTTTCTCGACAAATTTTTTTTCAATTCATCCATTTTGCTATCAGGCATCTAATACACTGACTCCCATTTATCTCATCCCTATTCAATACATAATTTTTGTCACTTCTTGGTGTTAATTTTTTGAGGGAAGATAGAAATCTTCTGAATTACCTTACATTTCACATATTTTGTGATTAACAAAGGTTCATTAATATATTATATATTTAATTCCTCCAGATATCATTACATACTTCAAACTACTTAAATTTAGTGGGCTACAGTGCCCAAAGCCATATTGCAAATATTTGTATAGTTTTCATCAATATTACTTAATTTTTTTCATAAGAAGGTGAGTCATTTGGTGTTTGTGGAGAGGAAATACAGCAGATAAAATATTGCGGAGATAGAAATATAGCTCCTCTTCCATCTTCATTACTAGCAATAGGTTATTAACACCACAGAGTGGTTGGCAATGGGTGCCACCACATCTTGGCACAATTTGCATGATTAATGACTTGCAAACAAAATTTATTTTCTTTGAGCACAAAGTTTGGGATATGTAAATAATGATGATTTTCCATTACTTGTTACAAATTAATAACTTTCATTGTACCTTGATCATTATCTTATGATGCCTGTATTGTACAGTATTCATAATGCCTTCTTTTCTCTTTTCTATTCTGTACATTCATGCATCGATTTTTGGAATCAAGATCCCTATCATGACTCCCAGTTCTTTTATGAATTCAATCTTGAGACTTCAACTTTGTTCACCTGATATCTGGTAACAATTATCATTACCTAGACTCAGAACACTACACTTCATCCACTTTACAAGTCTATCTAGGTCATCTTGTGATGTCTTATTTTGAATTTATTTTCCTTTCTAATTTTTCAGCATCTGCAAATTTTTTGACTATACAAAATCTGTTAAGGCTAACTCATGAAAGGTATTATGGCAGCAAACCAGCAGTCATGAATGACGAAGCAAACTTTTCAAATGACCTACTAGTGCTCTAACATTAGACACCAAGACTTCCAAATAACACCATAGCTCTTCAGTACTTGAAAGACATGGCAGTAGAAAAATGAATGAATGGAAAAAAAAAAAATACACACACACACACAGGGAGCCGGTGGCTGAGTGGACAGCACACTGGACACGTGATCCTGTGGTCCCGGGTTCGATCCCTGGAGCCGGCGAGAAGCAATGAGCAGAGTTTCTTTCACCCTATGCTCCTGTTACCTAGCAGTAAATAGGTACCTGGGAGTTAGTCAGCTGTCACGGGCAGCTTCCTGGGGTGTGTGTGTGGTGTGAAGAAAAAAAAATAGTAGTAGTAGTTAGAAACAGTTGATTGACAGTCGAGAGGTGGGCCGAAAGAGCAGAGCTCAACCCCCGCAAGCACAATTAGGTGAATACACACACACACACACACACACCTAGACAAACTGAATGATTGATCCAACAAATGGCTGCTATAGTTCAACCTGAGTAAATGCAAAGTAATGAAACTAGGCAGTGGAAACAGGAGGCCAGACACAGGATACAGAATAGGAGATGAAGTACTTAATGAAAAGGACAGAGGGAAAGATCTAGGAGTTGATATCACACCAAACCTGTCTCCTGAAGCCCACATAAAAAGAATAACGTCTGCAACATATGCGAGGCTGGCTAACATCAAAACAGCCTTCAGGTATCTGTGTAAGGAATCATTCAGAATCTTGTATACCACATATGTAAGACCAATCCTGGAGTATGCAGCCCCAGCATGGAGCCCGTACCTAGTCAAGGACAAGACGAAACTGGAAAATATTCAGAGGTATGCCATTAGACTAGTCCCAGAACTGAAAGGCATGAGTTACGAGGAAAGGCTGCGGGAAATACACCTTACGACACTGGAAGACAGAAGAGTAAAGGGAGACATGATCACTACCTACAAAATCCTCAGGGGAATTGACAGGGACTATTCAACACTGGTGGTACGCGAACAAGGGGACACAGGTGGAAACTGAGTACCCAAATGAGCCACAGGGATGTTAAAAAGAACCTTTTCAGTGTCAGAGTAGTTAACAGGTGGAATGCATTAGGCAGTGACGTGGTGGAGGCTGACTCCATACACAGTTTTAAATGTAGATGTGATAGAGCCCAGTAGGCTCAGGAATCTGTACACCAGTTGATTGACAGTTGAGAGGCGGGGCCAAAGAGCCAGAGCTCAACCAAGTACAAATAGGCGAGTACACACACACACACACACACACACAGGGAGATGAAATCCTTCAAGAGTCTGAGAGAGAGAAAGACCTGGTGGTTGATATCACGCCAGATCTATCCCCTGAAGCTCATATCAAGAGGATAACATCAGCGGCATATGCCAGGTTGGTAAACATAAGAACGGCCTTTAGAAACCTAAGTAAGGAATCTTTCAGAACTTCATATACTACAAATGTCAGACCAATCCTGGAGTATGTGGCTCCAGTATGGAGTCCAAATCTAGTCAAGCACCAAACTAAACTGGAAAAAGTTCAAAGGTTTGCCACCAGACTAGTACCCGAACTGAGGGGCATGAGCTACGAGGAGAGACTACAGGAATTAAACTTCATGTCACTGGGAGACAGAAGAGTTAGAGGGGACATGATCACCACATACAAGATTCTCAGAGGAATTGATAGGGTAGATAGATAGGCTATTTACCACAAGGGGTACACACACTAGGGGTCACAGGTGGAAATTGAGTGCCCAAATGAGCCATAGAGACATTAGAAAGAATTTTTTCAGTGTCAGAGTAGTAGACAAATGGAATGCATTAGGAAGTGATGTGGTGGAGGCTGACTCCATACACAGCTTCCAATGTAGATATGATAGAGCCCAGCAGGCTCAGGAAACCGTACACTAGTTGATTGACAGTTGAGAGGCGGGACCAAAGAGCCAGAGCTCAACCCCCGCAAGCACAACTAGGTAAGTGCAACTAGGTAAGTACACACACACACACACACCAATCATATGCGCGAGATTGAAAAGGCAGTAAATTATTATTTTCAGATTATCAATAGTTCTAACTCCAGAAGCTAAAATTGTGTATTTTACAGATACAGTATAGAGTTAAAGGCACAAATATATCTGCACATATATTATTATGTCTTCAACATAGTTTAAATATGAGCACTATTGTAATGCACAGCAAGAAATAAAATACATGAAAATATAAAAAATACTATACAAAATAATTACTGTACAAGTATAAACACTTAATCTACAGTTATGCTAAAAAATGTTTAAGAATTAAACTATTGTCAATAACCTGCAGTGCATATGCAATCATACTTTCAGACACTAAACTTCAAATTACTTGTTGTAAATATATAATAAAAACCTTACCACTTGATACACCAAATGTGAACGTAGAGAATGTCAGCACAACATGATCTAATACAATAGTCAGCTAGGATACTATTTCCATCTCCATATGCATGTATAGAAAAATCCCACTTCTTACCTTAAAACAGTTACTGTAAGAGGTTCACTCCTTTTCTCCTAATTTTCCTTCTGTTAACCTAAAATATCTAAGTTTGTTCACTGAAATGTAAGGTGTGGACAGCTAAAGTTTAAATAACACTAGACCTACTGGTATATACAAACACAAGAAATACCTGTTGCTGTACTTCTGGTTTTTCTTCGATTACTGGCATCTGGCTCTGACTGTTCACTGTCTTTTCTTGTTTTGGTGCCTTGTAATGGGCTCTTGTCTTTGTCCTTGGACTGTGGACTTTTGTCCTTCGGTACAATTTTGTTCTCCTTAATAACACTTGGAGTTCTTCTGTCTTTTAATTGAGCATCTTTATCTTTCACTAATTCTTTTCTTTCTAATTCTTTTTCTCTAACAGGGTCTCTTATCCCTCTGTCTTTATTATCACGACTGGTTTGGAGTTTCACTAACTGACCCATTTGTCCTCTTTCTCTACATGGATCTGGTGACTTTTCCTTATTTGGAACACGGTTGTTTTGTCTAGGTGTACGTCTCGTTGGAGTCGTGTCTCGCGTTGTGCCAGTGGACTCCGCAGAACTTTGCCTTTCCCTACTACGTGTAGAAGTTTTGCAGGAAGTTCGACTGCTCCGAGATGATGGTCTGTAAAGAAAGAATTTGTAATAAAAAGTAAATACTGTATTATAATTTACTTGTGTCAACTGTAAATTTTACACAGAATATCTTAAGAAAAGTTATATATATATGCTCTTCAGTGTAACACAATATTAGTACTGGACATATTAAATACATATTAAAGTTTTCCTCAGGAAAACTTGCATACTGTACATACTGTACTGTATAGCTAGATATGGTCCTATTCTGGAGGGCAACCAAAAAAAGGACTCTTGATTTCCAATAAAAATATACCTCAAGATACAAACATCATTACGAAATATTGCATTAAAAAATAAATAATTATAATGTATGAAAATATAAAATATACGTAACTAGATATGGTTTGATCACAAAGGCAACTGAATAAAGTATACCCTGGCTGGCTTATCTTGTGGAACAAAGGTGGTTATTTAATGAGAATAGAGGTGGTAATGACAATAGTGAGTGAGAATCCCAGTGGTAGCTGGGTTTGTTCTTGAATCACAATCGGCAATTCCGGGCAGGGCAGAAATGCTCGGGAGTGTTTCCTAGCACTTAATGCACCGGTTCATCTAGCAATAAATAGATACCCAGGAGTTAGTCAGCTTGTTGAGGGGTTGCATCTTGGGAAGGGCCAATAATACGATACTGGTGGGGGGAAGGGGGGAGGTTATCTTGAGGTTATCTTGAGATGATTTCGGGGCTTTAGTGTCCACGCGGCCCGGTCCTCGACCAGGCCTCCACCCCCAGGAAGCAGCCTGTGACAGCTGACTAACACCCAGGTACCTATTTTACTGCTAGGTAACAGGGGCATAGGGTGAAAGAAACTCTGCCCAATGTTTCTCGCCGGCGCCTGAGATCGAACCCAGGACCACAGGATCACAAGTCCAGCGTGCTGTCCGCTCGGCTCCCTGTCGGGATGTCGATATAAGCTTAATATGTATACAGTATCCCCTTGATTTAACGACCTCTTATTTACCGATCTGCCGGTTCCATCAACCAGTTTGAGAGACCAGTATCTTGAGCCTCACATACCGGTCTGGTGGTCGATATAACCACAGGTCGGTATTGGGTTTGTTTTGGCATCAGCGTGCCCTCACATGGCAAGCAGGCCACTGACCTTGATCGTCCAGAGTTGTAAATTAGATCTTAATTTTCTTTTAAAATGATACAGTTTAATGAAGTAAATTCTAAATTATTATTAAAAATATTTTGAAAGAATTGTTATTAAGCAAAATTTTCTGTTTTATTAAATGCCTTTTAAAGTATAGGCACAAGGTATTTTTTCCCCACGGACATAGAATGTACTGTGCCAGGCCGTGTGTCCGCATTGTGTACTGTGAACTCACCCGACTAACTTCAATTTTGAAGGACATTACTGTTAATTGAGATCTTCAATTTAATTTACAAAATGCCTAAAGTTACCCAAAGGAAGCGCCTGATGGTTGCACAAAAGCTGGAGTTAATTAAAAAACTTGACAAAGGATATTCTCATGCACGAGCAGCAGCAGAGTTTAACATTGGCAAAAGTACAGTCAGCCACACAAAATTTTTTAGGAAATACTATTAAAATATGTGAGCACTACTGAGTGTGCTATTTCTGGTGTTGCATATTCAAGAAAGCAGTAAAGGCTGGTCAGTATCCACAATTGGATGCTGCAGTGTGCAAGTGGTTTATTCAGTACTGCACAACTGCATTGTAATACGATTTGAAGAGCTTAAAGTTGCAGCAAGTAAACTTGCAATTCAATTCGATATAAAAGATTTCACTGCAAGTGATAGGGGGGTTTGAAGATTTAAGGCTCGGAATAACATTTCAAACACCAAAAAAATTTCTGGTGAGGCTTCAAGTGCTGATCCCACTAATGTTGAATTATTCAAGGATAAATTAAACCAGTACATTGTCAGTAATAATTTAAACAAATATCAAGTGTATAATGATGACAAGACGGGGTTTTATGTGGAGAGTTGTACCCAGTAAATCTTAATAAGATACAATACGATACAAGGGAGTAGGATGCAGGAAAATATTCCTGGACGAAAGATAGGTAAGGAATGACTCTCAGTCTTGCTCTGTGATATTGCTGATGCCTCTCACAGGACAAAATGTGCCGTGGTAGGCAAGACTAAAAAATACTCAAGCCTTAAAAAATCATAATGCAGGCACTACCCGTAATATACTATAGTTCAAAGAAATCATGGTTTAATCAATCAATATTTACGGACTGGTTTGAAAACCACTTTTACAAGGAGATTAGAGAATTCCAGATCAACAAACGTGGAATGAAAGCCAGTGAGGTTAAGGCATTGTTGCTGCTAGATAATGCCCCTGCTCATCCCATTAGCAAGTTAATTTCATGGGATGAAAGAATAAAATACATGGCATTTCCACCAAACAGCATCCTTGATCCAGCCCATGGATCAAGGTGTTACTCTTGCTGCTAAACATATGTACCAAACAACTATGCTTGAAGATGTTTTAGTTGTTTTACCTAGCGAGGAAGGTGAATTGATAGGAAAGGATACAAAGGCTCAAAGAACGCTAGAAAATCTAAAAAGAAACCAGCGTTGAATGTAATGAAACGCCATTTTCAGGGTGAGCCCCGGAGGCTTCCTGGAGCTAATCGGGTTAATGTATGTTATATTATACCGGGACATTAGCTATGGAGTTCAGACCTACCAAGGACCAATGCCAGAACCTAGCCCCCCCCCTTCAGAGAGGTTTCAGGGAGCAATGGCCCTGGAAAACCTCCTTGTGGTTGGGGGGTTTTCTTTTTTCTGCCATCGACTGGAGTTAGGCACCCAGAAAGGTAGACATAACAAAACAAACCCCACATGGTATGAAACTAAAACCAAACCAAACAGAGGTAGAAATTCCCTACAATCCCAAGGAAACAAGCAAACATCACACTTTACTGCTGCACCGATTGTCCGCGCAGCCCTCCCCGCCACGAGAGGGGGGAGGGGGTGGGGGGGCCCCCTGGATCTCACCACGCCAGCTGCCGTGCATCAGTTCGGAAGCTAAGCTTCAACCAATGCAAAAAAAATGCCGACTGATGGGAGGTAGGATTGCCTGGGAGCCTCCAGGGCTCACCCAGAAATTGGTGTTTCATTACATTCAATGTTGATTTTCTGTGGGGAGCCCCTATGACTCCCTGGAGCTACATACTCAAAGAGAAGGAAAAGAAAAGGCTGACCCGGGAGGCAGCCGCCACAAACTCTGCAATGCAAAGTCGAGAAAACAGGCAGCAACCTGCAACCCAAAGCAACACAAGAACACACAGGAGCAGACACACTCACAAAAGAACGGGCGGCCAGGAACCTAAGTGAACCCCAAAACCTCGCGCCCGAAATGAGCCCAAGACGTCACCAAACACGGCAGCAAAAGCTGCAACTGTCCGAACGGCACTTGCACAAGGATAGACCGCAGGCTGGTAGACTTAAGAAACCTGCGGACGACCTGGGAGACCCCGAGCCCTGAAACAGGGAACGAAGGGAACTGGATCAACTCAAAGCGCATCCCCAGCCACGGCACACAGGTAACAGCGAAGAGCCGCAACCGGACAACGCATGACGCATCCCCTGTTGAACCAACCAAGCATCAATAACCCAAGGACCCCTCCTGAAAGCAGCCGTCTCGACTGTCGCCAGAAGGACGGAGAAAGGCTGCAAGCATACAAACCTACCACCAGTATCAAAAGAGCAGAAACCCCTGCGCTGGAGGAGAGCCGGAAGCTCCCCGACCCAACCCACAGAGGCCAATGCCAACAAAATACAGTATGGCCTTTGAAAAACAATCTTGAACCGAAGGGGCTACCACAAACTGAGGAGAGAAAAAATACGAAGGCACCCTGATCAAGGACCAGGACTGCTCAGGCGGCGCATGAGCAGGCCGGAGGTGAAACAACATGAGAAAGCGTACGGAACAGGGTAAATGTGAACGCAAGCTGGAGCGGCTCCGCCAGCGCCGAACGATATGAGGCGACGGTAAGAAGCATCAATTAACAGTCTTGAAAATCCAAGAAAGGACAAGACAACCAGATGTGAAAGAGGAGACAACCTACGGAGAGCAAGAAAATGGCGAATAGAAATGCTAGGAACGTCATACTGTCGCCGAGACGAAGCTCGCAGGTGGGACACCATCAACAAAGCTACCTGATCACCATAGAGATGGTGATACACCCGCGTCAAAAGACCAGACGTGAAGAGCCGAGGCGAAGGCCGAACCAGTCACGTACAGGACTGGTCCGACCTGCCGAAAGAGATGGAGCCTCGGAAAACACCCCAGGAACGGACACCTATCAAGCAGTGTCTGAAAACAAAACTGGGCCAGCCACCAAGGGACCACGAGGACTACTCTCCTTGGGAAGGACTCCAACCGAGCCAGAACCCGAAGCAACAGCTGGACCGGGAGAAGAGGAACGGGTAACTCCACCTCGACTAGTCCTGCCGAAAGGCATCCACCGCGAACACCTCGCAGGCAGGTAAGGGTGCCACATAGAATGGGAGACGCTGAGACCATGCCGACGCGAAGATGTCCATGTCCAGGAGTCCGTATGTCCGGCAGAGCAAACGAAACGAGTCAGCGACGACCGGTCAATCTGTGAACAGAGGAATGAACCAAGACAGGGCATCCACCAGGATGTAGGACACACCCCGGACATGAAACACCCGGCTAGCCAAACCCCGAGAATCCAGCAGACGAGCAACTCGAAGGGACCAATCCCAAAGGTCAAGGACCTAAGAGAATTCCCGTGGTTCCGGCAATGACCCACCGGAGAACAGTCCAATGGAGCTGGATGGTAGAGCCCCAAGTGACCCGAACCCTCCGAAGCGCAAACCCGACATCCATGAACTCCCGAACCGTGCTGTGAGCGCGACTGACGGACGGACCTCACCATTCCCGGCTGGCCTGGTAAGCACTGATCACAAAGCCCCAGCCGAGAGATGACCCGTCCGTGAACACATAAAGCGAAGGCTTGGGGAGGTGCCAAGGTACGGAACCC